CCTAGCTTCCCTAAGGTCAACAACAGTGAGTAAAAAATCTCAGGTGTGACTCTCCAAAGCCCTTGGTCCATGACCATCAGTAATACAGAGTATTCAGAGGCTGAATCCTCCACAAAGGACAGAGAAGGAAGGCCACGTGCATGGAGGCAGTAAGGGGACAAGCTTGTCAGTCACCAACCCCACTGAGACTCGGGGGGGGGGGGAAGGCTCAGTGCAGAGGCAAGGGGCAGGCATGGCGTTTATTATTAAAATATCAGCCTATCAGCCTGGAATCCAAAATCAGGCTATTTCAACCTCTAGTGGTTTGTAATACATAATAAATCAGCCTCTCCATGTTTGCATGCCCGTTCCCTCAGGAGAAATGGATTGCATACTGTCCAGCCAGTGACCAGGCGGGTGGGGCCTCCAGCCATTTCCTTTATCCTACCCACCTAAACAGTGCTGACCTTCTCTCCTTGGAAACCTAACATCGTTGCCACAATCATGTCCAAACTGAGGCATTCCCGCCTTATCCCACCCTCATACCCAGCAGCCAGGAGCTGGGGTTCCCAGCTGAACAGACCCAGCGAATTTCTGGCTATAACAACTGAACATGACCGAGAGCCCACCAGGACCAACTCCGAGGAATTAAAGAAATTCCTTTGGCTTGCCGGAATCTTATGTTAAATATTCTCGGAAGTAAGTAGGCCATAGGCTAACACTAAGAAATCGTTCACAATAAAGATATTCAGCTAGTAACGCAACCGCTGGTACAGGATCCGACCTGAATAGGGAAAGAGACGAAACGGCTTTCTCAGCCGAGCTCTTTGAGGCTGGATGGTGCTAAATCTCCAGGGAGAAATTGCAGCTCTCTAATAAAACTTTAAAGACCCCACGTTCCACGTCCCTCCCCTCTCCCACCCCGCTCTCCCCCCATACACACCCCTGTCGGAAGCACTTGCTAAAAAAGCCAGAGGAAAGAAACACTTTGGGGATGTAAGAAAGTGCACAGACTTCAGAGTCAGAGGGATTGAGTCCTCAGCCTGACTACTACACTAGCTTATGGTATGACCTTAGGAGAAATCAACAGTGACTTATAGGACTCAGTGTGCTCATCCACAGAATGGGGACCAAGAAGCTCTCAGGGAAACACCATGCCGAGTGATGTGAGCCCAAATCTGCAAAGGCACTAGGTCCATTTCTTGGCTCATAGTAAATTCTTAATGAATAGTAATTAGCCTCTCTCTCTTCTTTTCTAAGACATGTGCATTGTGTGTGCACATGTGTGTGCGCATGAGTGTATGCACGTGTGCATGAGCATGTGTTTGTATGGGCATGAACATGTGTGTGCACATGAGTGTGTGCATGAGCATGTGTTTGTGCTTACATACACTTGTGTGCATGTGAAGATCAGAAGCCAACTCCAGATGTCATTCCTCGGGAGCCGGTTCTGTTGTTTTTGTGAGATGGACTCTCTCAAGGGCCTGGGGTGGCTGATCCAGCTGCACTGGCTGGCCAGGAAGCACAAGCCTGTCTCTACCTCCTCAGTGTTGGGATTCCAAAACCATGTCTGGATTTTTTTAGATGGACTCTAGAGAGAAAATGCAGCAAGTACTTTACTAGCTAAGCAATCTCTCCCCTAGAGACTTGTAGTTTTAGTGCAATTTGTAAGAATCTTAGGGGGTTGTGTTTGGTTGTTTGGTTGGTTTTTGTTTTGTTTTTTTACTTACTTCAACAAGGCCACAGGGTTGGTTGGGTTGATTGGTTTGTTTTGTTGTTGTTGGCCTTCTCACTCATAGGTATAATAGGAAGATTCCTAGAAAGAGAATGTAAGAACCTAGGCAGGTTTCTGCTTCTGCTACTTACCAATAAGGCTCTCTCTGTGCCTTGGAAATCAAGCTTCCTACAGCAGCCACCAGGATGGCTACGAGAACTTGGTGAGATGAAGTATGTGTATGCATTAAGTACCCCAGAAATCAGGGAGTGTTTTAAGATGAAGGAAACACCATCACTGGGGCACAGTCCATAGACGGCATCTACATTACTCTGCTCACGAGGTACGCCCCCCCACAACGAGACACAGTCTGTATGTGACCCACACTACAGAAACTTAAAGGGGAAAAAGAACCAGCCACAGAAGTGGGTCTTGGAAGACTCAGGAGATAATCCATATTCAGTCGTGTTAGTGGATGTGGCCTCTAGACATTTACAAGTAAGGACGCTAGAGACTTATCCATTGCTGAGGTCGCACCTGGGATGAGAAGCACCTAGAAAGCTCTACACAGAGTCTAAAGCAAGAGAGACGGAGCAGAGAGAAGAAAGAAATGTATCCAGGTTGATGCATCCATAGTCAAGGAGAGCAGACGGCAGATACTGAAAACAGGTATACTGCAGGCATGAGGGAGCTGGAATGTGTGGAACAGCAACCCAGCTGCTCCAGGATAAAGACAGGTCAGGGAAGGCACTGAGAACATCTTGTCTCTCCCACTGGGTTCTGTAATCAGCAACAGCAGAACACATTATCATTACTAGTAAGCATAATTTCTGAACTCTACTTGCTAGGGTACAAGCCATACAGGACATTAGTTGTGTAGTCTTTGCCTAGAAGAGACACTGCCCTTTTCCTCAATTAGCAAGCCAATGTTTCCATTATCAAGTTGAAAAGTCATTAGGCTTGAGGATCCCTGATCTACATAAGAGAGTTAAAAAAAAACATCCAGTCCCCCAGAAAGGTCTTTCTGAATATCTCAGTTTTGCATGTCCAGCAAAAGAGAGAAGAAAGCTGAAGCAGCCAATAGGAGATGGTCACTTATAGACCTTAAGGCGACCTAGGGATGCTTGCTGTCAAACCTTGACCTTGACATCACAGGCTCATTTTCTGATGTGGAGAATAATTCTACTGGTCACAGGGACAGCTTCACTGCTGAAGGACTGTGTGAAGGACAGTACCCATCAGATGACTGAGATGACTTGGGCCAGAATACCACTTATTGTTTCTTCTTCTGTACAGAGGGGAGAAGAAACATCTTCTCAGACATTTCCCTTTAAAAAAAAAAGTGGGGGGAGAAATAGCAGCCGAGCCAGGGCTTGGCAATTAGTGTTGGAGTAAGTGATCGCCTTGTGATTGCTCAGCTGGGGCCCGAAGACTTGTAAATGCATTTAGAAGACAGAAATAGAAGATGTTGTGAGAGAGGAGCGAAACCTGGACCATTTGCCAGGAGAAAATGTCCCAGAGCTGCCGGGAAATTCACTCAGTAGGGATTTGGGGTGTGTCTTCACAAATGGCCGGAGTTCACTCATAAAACCTTACCGATGTGCCAGACTGTATGCCTCGCCCTGTGGATCTGTCACCCTCAGCCTCCTCTGGAGCACCCACCATATCTAACAGAGCACTCTGGGTGGGTGCTGGTGCTTTAGCTCATCTTGAGTAAGTCTGGTGACATTGGGCTGCACTTCGTATAACAGTAGTCAGCTGGAACCGTCATGTGCTTCCACAGCCCCAACTGTCCCCACCTGATCGACCATGAAGAACATGTGGTTTCACGACCTCTGAATGTTGTGAAAAAGGAGAGCTCTCCGATGTCAAAAGCTCTTTCCCTTGGGAAGTTTTACAATGAAACTCGAATCCCCAATAAAATAAACACCTGGAACATCTGGTCCAAGGCCCTTCTCTGGTTGCAGCGCTCTACCAATAGCTGTGAAGAACACACACATCAGGAAAATTGTGCCATGGGATGTAAACCATAGCAAGGGAGCAAGAGCTGAGCTAGACAGTTAAAAGGGAGGTCTTGGTCCCCCATTGTTAATACAAATGGTCCCAAACAATGGCCAGGGAGCTTGCTATTTCTAGAGGGAAGAAAGAAAATTCCACACAAAACAGAAGTGACTGAAAGAAAGAAATAACTATTCACCCTGTGCTTGGGAAAACACACAAACCTGAGAGTATAGCCGGGACCTCTGTAAAAAGAAACCACTCCCCAACCATAATTGTTCAGAATCTCTTCTGACCCCCTACACCCGCTGCCTGCCACTTCTTCACAGCATCCCTTAGAAGCTCTGCTTCTTTATAAGAAATCTTTACCCAGAAAGTTGCCTTCCATTATCAAGTGCCAACTACAGTGGCCAACGAAAGACCAGTCAGCCTGCCAGTAGGTCCTCTGCTTCTGTTCCACAGTGGATCCCAACACCATCCAATTCATGCATACTCTCTGCTCTTTGGGGTATACGCACTGAAGATCCACAAGGCTATTCTTCTTGAGCGAGAGAGCTGACCCAGACAACTGGTATACCCCTGTGGAGGTGTCAGTTGTCTTGTCCTTGATCACTTACTGGAGGTTTTCTTTCATGTTCCCTTGAGGCACAAGAAATAACTGCCCTCCCTCCAAATCTCATAGTCTGCCTACCCAGACCTAGACTTGGAGAAGAAGCATACATGTGGATGATTCCACTCTTCTGAGGTCTGCCTAAAGAATTTATTCCACTAGTCAGTCATGGCAAAGAGGGAATACAGAGTGAGGGTGGCACAAACAGGCACAGATACCCATCATCATGTGTCCACTGTCCCATCCCAAACCAAGACCTGTGATCTTATGTAGATGCTTCCATTTCTCGAAGCTCTTCTGTATTGAATCTAGACTCTTCTCATACTTGGTCTGGTCTTGCTTTCCTTCTTCCTGTAATCCCCAACCTCCGCACATACACACCCCTACTACCTACGCACACTCTCAGAAGAGTCAGGTCCATATTAAGTCCCTGTCATTTACATTCCCATAAAACTGAAAATTTCATTATAAAAGATACAAACTCGCAAGCCAAGAGACTCTCCCACTCAGCCCTGGATTACTTCTACTTAAAACCTTTGAGGTTACTGAGTCCCAAATGCTTATGCTAAGGAGGTAAAACTGAAGACCTAAGAAAGGTAAAGGCTTTGTCCAAGGTCAACAAATATTAAAGCCAGCTTCACGGTCCAGGGTGCATCTCCATGCATGCACCCCTGCCTCCCAAAATCCAGTTCTACTCACATATAACGCAAGTGGGGGTTCTTGGCGAAGGCTCTGGGCTGAATGTTCCGGAGTCCAGAGTTCTTGATGGTCCTAAGCAGAGAGAAAAGAAGGTCAATAGAATTCCAGAGCCGGAAAGAAGGCTATAGACTCCCCTGTGAGTAGGCTGTGGCTCTCTTCGTTGCTAGTCACCCTAGATGGCCAAGAGCGGCTCAGTGAGAGACACAAGCCCAATTCCTTTGGAGAACTGGGTGAGGGTTGGAACATGAGCAATCACTGATGGCAGCTAGTCACTACCCATCCTGAGCAGCAGTTGAGAATCAGGCTCCTGGTGCCCCAAAGACAAGGAGATTTCAGTCTCGTGTGCCTTCTCCTCCTCACACCTGGTCCTCCCTGCCTAGAGCCCTGACGTTCACTGCAGTTGTGAAGGATACTGGAACACTGGAACACTGGGAATGGGGTATGGGGCTGTGCCAAGCACAGGAATGGAGAAAGAACGCAATCCCAGCAGGCATGGGGACAAGGCTGCCTTGAAATGCTAAACTCAGATAACCCCCAAGCCTATTCAGATTAAGGTGGCCCCTGACAACCCCTAAATGGGTGATGCCAATCATCCCCAGAAAAGATTCCTGACTGGGGGGGGGCACCGAGACAGAAGACTTCCCATTCCTGCTACTGCACCCCCAAAGATGATGGCCAGCATCCCAGTTGTTGCTCCACAAGCCACCCCAGGGTACTCACAGCTTCTGGAGTCCCGTGTAGAGCTCCATGTCCACAGCGTTGAGCGTGTGCAGGCCTCGCCAGTTCTCTATGTGTCTGCAGGGAGAGAGGAAAGGTCAGGACACTGCGGCCAGGGGCAGGATGCCAACTTTATAGTCAGATCTGAGCTTCAAGCCTGGAGCATGAGCCATGACTTCTGACAAATCACCAATTAACTTTGAGTTCAGCTTCTCCCTCTGGATGGTCAGAAGCAAAGGACTCACGGCTCCTCCGTGTGTAGCCTGAGGACGGAGCGCTCAGCATCCACTCCCAGCTCCAGAACACTTCAAATCCATACCCCCCCCCCAAATTTTGATTCTATTTTACTTCCTTCTTGTTCCTCTTCAGGATTTTCTAAGGTCAGGCTCTTTGTAGACTCTTTTTATTTTATTTATTTATTTTTTTTTATTTTCTGCATGCCTGTGCAGCAAGACGATATAAATGACGTGGTTTTAGGAAGGGAGGGGTGGCTCATCTGAGAGGATGGCTTCTGAACAGACAAGATGAGGAGAAAGACATGCATGGCCCACAAGGGCACAGAAGACCACACCATCTACACGACCACAGTTCACTCCATTGGGAACTCAAGGAAACCAATGGATTGGGATGACAGAAAAGTGACTCCAGAGATGGGGCCCCCTAATGACTCAGGGGTGCCACAGAGAAACATGGGAAGAGCGCAACATGGAAACCCTGGGAAGCAGGCTCAGTTTCACCTCTGAGACTCTGTTGCAGATGAGGCAAACGCTTTAACCACTGTGAGACTCTTGTTTCTTTGTGAAGGAGACGGACCCTACCACAGCAGTTCCTCCTTTCTCTACCACAGTTGACTCTTTCTAGAGCTTTCCTTCGAGAGATCTTGATTTTTAAAGAGGGCTGTGTCCAGCAAGACTACATTTATTAAATAATAACTAATTCGTATTCTAAGATCAACCAAAGACAAAAATTGCTGTGAATTGAGGCTCTTTATCAACAGACACAAGCCAGTGTTAACTGGCCCAGTACATCAACTCAATCTCAAAGTTAGAAAACTCAAGGCTATTGCTATGATGTAAGGCTTGTCATGAGTATTGGTCTAGTTTTTGTTAGTTCCTCAATACTGACAAAGGACCGACATTTCTTCACTGCCGCTTTTGGAGTTTTCAAGTCAAAAACCATTGAACTGATAACTACCTAGACCTTTCTGTTACTCTGATATTGTATGAAAGACGACCTTCCATGGAGTGCCAGAAGATCCTAAGAAATGATCCACCCCAGCCCTCCAGGAACCTGCCTCTCTCCTCAGTATCCAGAAGTTGCAATAGACAAAAGGTCTAAGTACCATTGCAGTAAAGAATACAGTTACCTAAGGCACACTCTTGCCAGAAATGTGACCACCACTTTTCCCCCAGACAGCTCCTCCATTGCCCGACCACACCAGTGGTTCCGCCATCTGCCGCCCAGTCCAACTGGAGCCAAGAAGGCAACAGGGCTGTGCTTGCCAGGACTTCTGGCAGCATTTCAGAACCGCACAGTGACGAGGTATGCCAAGAGCCCATTTTGAAACACATTCTCCCAGAGCTCCTATGGAGCAGCCAGAGACACTGGCATTTGTTGGGGACACTGACCAGGTGGCCAGGTTGGCATTGGCCTCTAACTCGGACGCCTTCTCTCAGGAAGCCTCATGGTTTCAAGGCAGTTTTCATGCCCCTGTCTCACCAAGGTAGGAACACTGACAACATTTCAGATGCAAAGGGAAGCCAAGAGGAATAAGACCACCTGTGCCACTAAGCCCCTCCAGTTCATATTCCCGGGCCATGAGCCATGTCAAATACCAAGTAGATCACAGTGTTTATCCAGCATGTTCTCCATCCATGGGAGCTCAGCTTCCTCCGTGGATCCGTTTCCAACAAGTAGCTATCAATCAAATTGTTTAAATAAATGAAATCACTTTCTTGGCCCCTATTAGCATTCCATAAGTGTGCTTTGATGATTGTAGAGATGACTCTCGTTGCATTCTGGGACTTCATTCATTTCAGTCTTTATGATTTATGCTTACAAACGGATCCTTCCTAGACTCGCCACGCACTAAGAAGCAGCAAAGGAGTGGAGCTTCGATATGGAGTCCTCCAGCAAATTAAATAACAACCCCAGCATCCTCTTTGGTGTCTGAGTGCTCCTCAGACAGGGAGCAGCAGTGTGACAGCCACATTGCAGAGAGGTGAGGGGGGTCAGGGCTCTGGAACAGTCATTGGCAAACTATGGGTTGGGGTCAAATTCAGCCCACTGTTTTCTTAAACATAGCTTCAAGAAGATACATTTTCATATTTTGATTTTTTTAAAAAAAAAATCAAAGAAAAAACTATTTTGTGAAATATAAGAATTAGATAAAATCTACATTTCTGTGCTCATCTATAGTTACCTCCATGTTATAAAGTTGAACCATCACTGCAGAGACCATATGGCCTGCAAGGCCTGGATTTACTCTCTGGCTCTTTATAGATAAAAAGGTTGCCAACCCCCAGCTAGAGCAAGGCTGCCAGGATGCTAATCCTAGCCCCAGGAGCACTCCACCAAAGACACTCTGTCCACGCCACTTCACCTGTCTCTGCCTCCCTTTTCTCTGCTGTCAAATGGGGGTGATGAAATGTCTGCCTCCTAATGATGACCTGAAAATTGAAGGAGTGTGTTAAAAAAAATTCTTAAGGGACTGGAAGTACAGCTCTGTACTCACCTAGATCACCTGAGACCCTGACTTCAGTCCCAGCACCACACAATACTAAAAATAACAACCCCACCCAAGAGCCCTTGTAGGATTGGATACAGAGGAGGCCTTGGAAGACACTATGGGAGTTTTATGAGAATTCTTTTCTTGGTTTTTGAGTGCAGATGGCGTCATGCTTCTGCTAGAAGTTATCATTTCTTGGCCATAATTCATTAAAAATAAAAAGAAGAGTAGGTCCATCATTGATTTTAATGCCCTATTATGGCAGAAGGGTAGAAGGACAGGAAACCTATCATTCATGACTTCTAAGAAAACTTCAGGAAAGCACTAATGAGTCACCAGGAAAAGGACACTTGCCACTGGATCTAACAACTTGAATATAATATTTAGAAATATACGAGATGAAAATGGGGCACTAGCTCTGATTGGTTGTCTTCACAGGCACACACACACAACACTATCAACAACAACAGCAGCAACAAATATACATATATATATATACATACACACATATATATAGGTGTAGATAGATAGATAGATAGATAGATAGATAGATAGATAGATAGATAGATCTTTAAAAGAGAAAACACCATGGTGGGTAATAACAGGACAGAGGAGAAGCATGCCAGCTGAGGTACAGCCTTGCCATTTGCAAATGACATTGGCCATGGCCTGCCAAGTCTTCCATGACTCACTGCTAGGTACCAAACAAGGGAGGTCACTTATGGTAACTCTGCTGGCTGCTCTTAGAAGGCCACAAGTTTCAGTGGGAAAAGGCTGGATCTACGAAGTATAATAAATGAATAGGATGAGGTAAGAGAGTAGAATTGGCAAGGTTTCATTAACGCCAAATAGGGAAGGCAGAACCTGGTGCCAGTACATAGGGTTCTTCATGTCTGGCGCTTTTCCTGGGTACTCCAGTTCAATAAGGATGCATCTTTGAAGGAAGGTCAGGGCTCAAATAAAGGATTCGTGACAAGAACCAGACTGGTGCTACCCACAGATGTCTCACAAAGCCTGCTGTGGGGTGTGGAGGGAAGCAGGCACTCAGAGAGATGGTGGGAAGATGGTAAGATGCATGACAAGTGACCCCTCCAGTGACCCACAGCCATGCATCCACCCAGCATCACCTGTGCCAATCAAGGACAGGGAGGAGAGGGTAGACAGAGACCAAAATGCTGAACTTGGGTTCTCTCCCTTACCTTATATCAATTGTTTCCACGTTATAATGCTAACAGCAAAATTCTCAAGAGGAGGTAATTTTGTCTCCCAGGGGAACGTTTTCCCTGTCTACACACAGTTTTGATCCTCACAACTGAGGAAAGAATAACGCTAACATCTGGTGGGTAGGGACAGAGACATACAGGACAGACTGGAGCAAAGTGTCTGCCCCAGAGGTCCCCAGCTCTGACTTGAAGACCTTTGCCTTCTCACATAAAGTACCTGTCAAAGTTGTTATTGAAGCTAGAGTCCCAGGCCTTAAAACGTCACTTTTGAAAATGACTGCTTTGCAACACTAGGAGTCTGTGCCCTCCCCCCAAAAAAAACAGCCCTGCTCCTGGGTCCAGTGAGTCTAGAAGAAAAATCCAAAAGCCACGGCTCTCAGGACTCTGTGTCAATCCAGGAATGTGAACGAGTTATAGACGATATCTGCTTGCCGTGAACCTTTTCCCACACTCCTCTCAATGGCCTGCCCCCACACTCTCACATGGACTGTTCTCGAAACTGCAAAGTCCACTCTGCCTGGACCTTGTGCACACCCCTTTCCCAGAGAGTGTGACAGAGGGGGATGGTCCATGACAACAGAGACTTCTGGAGCCATGCCAGGCTTATAGGTGCAGCTCAGAAATTCCATGGGAGTCAAGATGGACCTCACAGAACAGGGCTTAGGTGGGGTATAGCCAAGGGCTGACTAAGCAGTCTCCCCCACAGCATGAGAAACACAGCCCCTCTTCAGAATGCACAATAGCATCTCTGAGTCCTAGAGACCCAGGACCAGGGTTCCTGACTCAGATCCCATTTGGGAATATGACAAAGCACAAATTAAGTATTAATTGAGGATACAAAGCCCTTTTGTGCTAGAATAAATTAGATGATACTTTGTCCCGCAGCTTTCTCTTCCTCTTTCTGTTTCACTTGAGCCAATATGGAAATGACCTGGCAACATCCAAGAATCTGAAAATCAGTTGGTACAGACTGTGTGCTCCATATTTTAATTAAAGACATGTCATGTGTCCTTTATGACCCCAGTATTTGATGTTTTTAGTCCTCTATCCAGAAAATTCTAGAACACACAGACATCTGCTGCCATATAACTTGAGAAAACTAAGGAGTAAGAAGCCCACAAGAGGGT